GAGGACGCACATCAAAATGGAGCAGCTCAGCCCCAGCCACTACAGCGAGCAGCAGCAGCACTCCCCGCAGCAGATCAACTACAGCTCCTTCAACCTCCAGCACTACAGCTCCTCCTACCCCACCATCACCCGCTCCCAGTACGACTACACCGACCACCAGAACTCCAGCTCCTACTACAGCCACGCCGCCGGGCAGAGCGGCGGCCTCTACTCCACCTTCACCTACATGAACCCCACGCAGCGCCCCATGTACACCCCCATCGCAGACACTTCTGGGGTCCCCTCCATCCCCCAGACCCACAGCCCGCAGCACTGGGAACAGCCCGTCTACACACAGCTCACCAGACCCTAAAGCCGTTTAAAAAAAGAAAAAGGAAAAAAAAAAAAATTAAAAAAAAAAAATCAAAAAAGCACGAAAGAAGCAACAAGAAGAAGATCGGAGAACTTCCTCAGACTTTTTCCTGCTTTGAAATTGAAATAACAATTAAAAAATGACGCTAAAGTTAAAGCTGGCGGGGAGGAGAGAGCGCCTCGAGCCTTCTGCACTACAGCATCCTCCAGGAAAGGGGCCGGAGCGCTCCGAGAACCGGCGAAACTCGGTACAGACTTTCCAAGGACTGGACTTTAACTCTGCTTCCAGGGCACGGCGTGGAGATGAGATTTCAAACCAGCCAGCTCAGCTGTCTCCTTCTCTGGACTTTTGTAATGATTTTTTTTTTTTTTAGCAGTAATTAAAAAAAAAAAAAAGAAAAAAAAATGGGGGGAAAAAAAAGAGAAAACTCAGAGTCCTCTGTGAGGAATATTCTCTATTTTAAATATTTTTTAGTATGTACTGTGTATGATTCGTTACCAATTTGAGGGGATTTATACATATTTTTTAGAGATTTTTTTAAATGCTCTTATTTTTCCAGCAGCTAAAAAATGACACTTAGTGGAGCAGTCCTAGGTTTTCTTGCAGTCAGAGGTATTTTTGTATAGATAAGTGTCTTTTTCTCTAAAAATAAAAATAAAGAAGCAAACCGGCGTGCTTTTAACTCGGAACAAAGCTCTGTTAAGTGGCCAGCGTCAGGCGTAGCGACGGTCAGCTCTGCCGCGCAGGAGACGCGAGCTGAGATTGCGCGGGGCCGAGCATGGGAGAGGCTTTATTTTTCTAACTAATAGCGAAAATCAGCCAGGAGGAGATTTTAACTTTATTTTTTAATAACCTTGAGCCTTAAGAAAGAAAAAACAGCAAGATTTTTTTTAAAAAAAACAAAACAAAACCACAACAAACAGCAAAAAGTGCTGTTTGAGAAAAGCCTTAAAAGCAGCCCTGGGATCATCACTTGTCCCCAGCTCTGCCCGGCCCCGGGGCTGGGGGGGGGCTGAGCTCGACCCCCTCCAGTCCCCCCCGAGCGACGCCCTGGTTTTTAATCACAATTTTCTTTTTTTTTTTAAATCTCCCTTTTTTTTTAAGTCCTTTCAAAAGCGATTTGTCGGAGCATTATTTGGAAGGTAACCGTGCCTGTTAAATTATGGTCTAAACTGTAACCAGTCCTTTATTTATCTCTTTAATTCCTTTTTTTTATTATTATTATTATTATTCTTTTTGGAATCTGTGTCCTGGGTTTGTACAAACTTGTGCTCTTCCTTTTTTTTTTTTTTTTTCTTTTGTCTTAAGGATAAACTGGAAAAAAAAAAATTGTACAAACTAAAGATTGCAAATGTAGCGTATCACTGAATCATTTGCCTTGTTTTCTGCCTCAGCTCTCTGGGACACACGCGCTCGTGCGAGGACGAGACCCAACGCCCCGGCAGTGCCGCGGGGGCGGCACCGTTTTAGCCTTCCACCCCCAAAACTGGCTTGAGGTGGGGACACTGACTTTGGTGAAGCTGTGGCTGAACAGTTAAGGATTGCTTTTTAAAAAAGACAGCAGACTTTTTTTATTTAAAAAAATGATATATTTGTTAACATTTTTTTTTTTTTAGGGATTCAGTAGAAGAAAAAAAAATCTTAAAGCACTCTTATAATATGGCATCTTTCTATTTCTGTATAAAAGCAGATCTTTTTAAAGTATTTCTGTAACTTAAAAGACCTGTCATTTAAATCATATTTTGTCCTTAGGTAAGTTGTTTTGTTTTGTTTGCGAGATCTTTCTCTTTGTGAAACTTACCTTTTTTTTTTTTTTTGTATATTATTGTTTGCAATAAATATACATTGTATTAAAAGTTAAACACCCCACCCGTGTTGGATTTATGAAGAGCCTTGGAGCAAAGCCGGGGCCAGGCTGAAGCTTTGGGATGGTTTGGGCTTTGCTGATGGGCCTTGGGGGGTCGTCCCCCCATCTCTTCTCGGCGCGGGGCCTGAGCGGGGTGATGGGATTTGGGGAGGGACAAAACCAGACTCGGCCACAGGGACAATTCAGGGTGTGAACTCCAAAGGTGACAACTGAGTTCCGGCCGTCCCCAAGCCACCTTGGCTCATGTCACCCGTGGGTCCTCTGCTCTGAGCTGCTGCGGTTTGGGAGGATGCTGAGCGTGAGCCGGGGGGGGGGTGAGGAGGTGCCACGGGGGTTCAGGCTTTCACGTCATTCTTACAAAACTGCTGGAATTCTCCCCCAAAAAAGCTGAAAACCCCTGAAGAGCCAAGCGGAACATGTATCGTCCTCAAAGATCAGTGTCACCGCTTGTCCCACGGCCCCAGAGAGGAAAGACCCCCCAGCTCAGCCAGGCACTGCTTTTCCTATCAAACCCACCCCGGATAAATCACTGCTTCCGACTCCCAGGGGCTGTAACCCTTCAGCTTACGGTGCTCCGAGCGCTCCAGCCCCGGCTTTGCCAACTCGCCCCACCTTACCCCCCCGCAGGGCTCACAGTACCCCTGTCCCGGGGCACAACCGCGCTGAGTTTTGCCAGTCCTCTGCCCTGCTGGTTTCCAGCGCTGAGAAACATGCACCCGCCACTGGCATCACCGCAGAGGTCACGAGTCTGTGCGGGTCTCGGTTATTCGCCTATGAAAACTTCTGCAGAACTGTCACAACTTGAGCCGGACTCTGCGTGGAAGACGCAGTGGGCACAGGGCAGCCCCACGCCGCGAGCTCAGCGCGGTGGGCGACACCTCGGGGCGCTCCCGCAGGGCACAGCCCTGAGCGAGGGCTGCGTTAATAAACCCAGATCTGATCAAACATCACTTTGCCAACAGTTTATTCTCTCCAGGCTCTTTTCCCTTGCCGAAATGCCCATCGGGCACCAGCAGCGAGAAGCGCTCCCCGGAGCAGCCGGGCTCACCGTGGGCACCTGGGGACAGCCCCGGCGCAGAGCACAAAGAGCTCAGGACTGCAACGCAAAGCCTCCGCACCGTTGTAAAATATTTACTCTCACTACAAGTAACACTTAAGCCAATTAACTCAAAGGGATTCATTTACTTTGTGCATTAGTTAAGGTCAGTGTCACTATTCACCTGTGCGGCTGGTGGGAACGCTCTGGGCTCGGCCATTCTCCTGCAGCGCGGGGCGGGTTGCCCCGGCCCCCATCGGACTTTGCCCGTTGCAAGTTTGGGCTTTACGGCTCCTTTGGAAAGAAGAACACCAACGCGGGTCCCGGCGTTATGGCAGGGACGGGTGCGGGAGCCGCGGTTG